CCGCTCCCCGGCGGCAACGGCAGCGCCGGCCTCCCCGGCAACGGCAGCGCGGGCCCCGGGGACGAGCGCCCCGAGCCCGCGCCCCTGTCCCCGGCCATCCCGGTGATCATCACGGCCGTCTACTCCGCTGTGTTCGTCGTGGGCCTGGTGGGCAACGCGCTGGTCATGTTCGTGATCGTCAGGTGAGCGGGAGACGCGGACGCTGGGACCCAGGGCTTCCCGGGGGTCCGCTTGGGGAGCTGGCGGGCTTCCCCGGAGAGTTTCTATAGGTGCGGGGTTCGCACGGGGTGAACCTGGGCGACCGCAGCGCTTCATTGCCACCGACCCCAAGACCCTGCAGAAAGTCAGCATGGGGAGGTAGCGGGTCAGCGTCCTCTGGTGAAGAAGCGAGTCCATTTGGTGCCCCCTCTTTGTGCTTCACTTTGAAGCCCGTTGATTTTCCTTTTGTAGACATTTCCTAAGATAACGCCCGCTGAAGGTAATTCGAATGGCCCTGGGACTTACCAGACTAACGTTAGGCTTATGAAACAAAAGCCATATGCTATTTAAGGCCGCTCATATCCAAATAGGAGGCTTTTCTGTATAGACCTGCTGCCTGATTTCTTTAGAGTATCTTAGAGTACCGAAGACTTTTGTAAATGAAACCTCCAGTTACCCTCTAAATTGTGGACTGTAGAGATTTTCAAAAATTATGTTGTTACTTTCACCTATCGTGAGAAATTGAAGTGTTTACTGTTCTTTTGTGAAATTTTCTTGAAGTTGATTTCCAATAATAAATAAAGTTCCAAGTATCGCCATGTACGCTAACCTTCTGGTAAAGGATACGATTCTTAATTTTAAAATAGAGCAAAAAGAAACCAAACTCCTACTTTGCATGCCCTTGGAAATATGTTTCATTTTCTGTGAGACTTACTGCTTGGGAAATACACTTTTGAGAGTGACCATGAAGTTTACATTCTTTGCAGAAATCCCGAAAGTCAAGAGAAGGCTTTAATGTCTAATTACAGACAGTAAAAGGATGAAGAATGGATTTCTTCTTTTTTATCTTGATTTTTGTTTTGAAAAAAGTGTTTTATTATTATGAACTTTAAAGCCAATGCCTATGATAGCACGAGTCTTTCCCTTGGAGGATCACCACCAGAAAATGCCAAAACACTTTTCTTTGTGGCATTGGAATATCAGGGATTTTATTCTCAAAATTGAAAACTATCCTCTTTTAAGCTTTCAAATGCAGATTATAAATCTCATTTACCGAGAATTGGTATAGGACCTCAGTAGCCTTGGTTTCCATAAACCAGTGCTTATTACACATTATAGGAATTCTATTAAAAGTATAGAAGGAATAACGTGTAAAAAGAAAATTTGTACAAGTTATTAGTAATGGCAAGGTTGGCCTCCCTTGGAGAGAATATTAGACAAAAAAAGACAAATATTATTTAAATTTTGAAGAGGTTTTGATCTAGAGACCGTTTTGTAATAAAATATTGTTATATAAAAAAGAACACTCAAAAAATTGGCTGTGCTTCTACTTGTGTTTCGTGATGTGTCCAAGTGAAACAGACACACCTTAGTGCCACTCCAGCGGGCACACGTGGTTTTGAGTGTGAAAAGAGCTTCCAAGTGGCTCTACAACTTGTTCAGTGAACTGCAGACTGGGCTTTTTAAAAACATGAAGAATTCTAGGCTCACATGCATGTTAGAGTGGGAAAAGAATTCTTGTAGATTAGCAAGGACTTCTCATGGACACATTCCACGAAGATATCCTGCACTGCAATTTGTTAGAGGGGGACAACCCCCAAGTAAAAGTATCTCACAAGTCAGATAGTTCATAAAACAACACGGTCGATCCTTCCACCCTCTTCTCCACTACTTTGAAGTTAAGCTTGATAAGTTTAAAATGAAGAGTTATCCTGCCATCCTGGAAGAATGGAAGAACCTACCACATTGGTAGTTCTCTTATATCTGCAGCTAAGAGAAGAGAGGAGTCTTTAAAATTTGCTCAATCAGCTGATAGTTAAAGAACTGAAAAATAAAACTTTTGAAGAAAAATTGATGGGCTTGGATTTGGTTCAGAAGAGGAACAGACTGAAGAGTCAAGAGAGAGTGACAAGGCGAGGGTTACGGGGTGCTCGTCGGGACACAGTGGAGGCAGGTGTAGACTGTCAGAAGTTGAGGGCCAGGCAGCTTTGCTGGAAAAGACAGGAGATCACTTTTGAGAACGGCAGTGTTTTAAAATATTGTACATGGAAAACGATCCTGATGTAGTTCAATCTTATGGAATATTATTCTATAGATGGAAATTCAGTGCTCAGTGGTAGGCAGCAAAGGTCTAGGCTGACCAGTTTCTTTCTGGGAAGATACTTAGAGCTGTGGAAAAAGTGCTGACTACTTTAAGCATGTCTTACAAATAGTTGTCCCCACCTTGGGCATCTGGAGTACTGCCCAGTATCTCCTCAAAATACCTGAGGTTTCAAGTGTTCCTACTGTTTAATGTACTAACTGTCATAATGCTCTATTGGGGCACTTTACCTGTTCACTGTGAAGACCTTAAAATTTATGTGTTCCGTGCTTCCCTGTTGTTAGTCTCTGGGGTTTGTAGTCCTTGGGAATGCCCACAGATGTGATGCTTAGTATCCTAATCACAAGCTCTTTTGGCTTTCTTCTTTTCAGGTCACCTGCATTGAGCCCTGATACCCACCATACCTGTGTCCTTGACCTCTAACGTAGCGAATATGCATTTTTCTACTCTTTCCATGGCCTTCCCCACCTACAGCTATCTCTTTCATAAACAAAGATGATCAAAATTTAATGAGTCCTTAATATGTGCCAGGCAGGAACAGCTACCTACTTCATGTAAATTCTTTTATTTAGTATTAGCATACATGGGTGTATTGCCACTGTTTAGCAGATGGGGAAACTAAGGCAGAGAAAGATTAAGCAAAGGCCAAATTCTCTCGTTGCTGACTGGAGACCTCAATGAGCTCAACAGCCTGACAGAGAGCCTGAGCTTTTGTTCAGCCCGATACTCACTTCCCACTGGACTGCTGCTGCCAACGTGTAGGTTCTTTCTTCCCTGGGTAGGTCCTCATTTCCCCAGAGTGTTTCTTTTTCTCTGACCCTGCCTAGATTCCTTGTTGTCATTCCAGCCTCCATCTTGAAAATACACCTGACAGTCCATCTTGTCCCTCTGCCACTGCCTTCCATCAAGGCTGTAATCAGCGTCAGGGCAGCAATCGACATTCCACGTTCTTGCACCCTACGAACCAAGTGCTGCTGGCTGAATTCATTTTTGTCAAGGCAAAGCCACTACCTTTACATCTATCTGACCTTAATTCTGCCCAGAAGTTTTTTATATTTCCTCTCTTATTTTCTAGCAGGAGCCCATTCCTTCTCCCATTTCTCATAAAAACTGAGTTCAAATCTGTACTGGTTCCCAAGCCTTCCACCTGGCCATATTCCCCTGCCAGTGGCTAGGTAATTTTGCACAGTGTAAACTGAGATTTGGATTCCATCTCCTTAGAATGTCCCCTTGCCTATGAATCCTGGCAGTGCCCTCCTCCCAGTCCTCTCTATATTTGGGGAAGAGTCTCCTGTGTCCCTGTTCCTGTGTCTTGACACTCATCATTTCCTGGGGCTTTGCAACAGTGCATATCCCCTTTCTACTCCCTCTGCAGTCTGTCTTGCTTTGCTATGGCTTCTTGTGCCTTTCTCACAACATCTTGCTCGTGTGTGCCATTTTAACCCATGATCCAATATCATAGAATTTCATTTGTCTTAGTTCCCTTAGGTTGCGTCCTGTCATCTCAGGTAGATCAGCTCCTTGCAGGACAATCCCTCCCCGTCATTCCCCCATCGATCCCATTTCTCTGCCCCCAGGCTTGGGCACTGTCTTCCAAGTTCCTTGATCAAAGCCATGGTGCTCATGTTTGAGAGGCTCATTTGAAGCTGGCTGTCACCTGAGTCTTATAGAATTTGCTGTACTTTGATTGTGTCCCTCACTTTGTCTGATACACTTTCTCCTGAGCTTCCCCTTCCATTCTCTGGACCTTTTCTGTGGTCTGCTTCATGGATTGGGCTTCCTCAGATGTCTCTAGATGGTTACCTCCTCCAGGGTCTTCTCAGCTCGCTTCTGTTTTCACTTGGCAAAATTGCTGTGTTAATCAAGGTTCCACCAGAGAAGCAGAACCAGTGCTGGGAGAGCACACGAAGGGATTTCTGGCAGGAAATTGGCTTACATGGCTTAAGGGTTGATTGAATAAGTCTAATATCTATAGATCAGCAAGCCAAGAAGGGCAGGCTGCCCTTCCCAGGTACAATTTGTTCTTCCTCTGTGAACCTCAACTCAGGTCTTAAAGCGACTCCCCTGATGCAACCAGCTCACCTGGAGGAGGTAGAATGCTCTCGCTTGGCTAAGATCAGCTGCTGATGACCATTCATCACATCTGCAGAACACGCTCATGGCAGCTCCTGCGTGTGCGAAGACCTGGGCACTGTAGTCCGGCCGAGCTAACACATCCAAGTGACAGCCACACTCCCTTTCGATGGCTTCACTCCTTCTTGAGGTCATAATTGTCAAGAACAGTCTGACAAATATCTGTCATGAACTAGATCTGAAATGTATCCTGGGCTCATACGTGGAACTTGTACAAAGCAGTCAGATTATGGGGCACTCTGCTCATCAGAGGACCAACTCCTGAGGCCAGAGCTGACTGTACTTGTTGGCAGGTCAGGTCTAGCTGGGGAGGTGAGTTACTGAGGAGTGCCCAGAAAGGCAAGCCCTTGTGCCCAGTTCTTTGCTTCCTTCTGCGCTTCCTTGTGGCTGCTGGTCTGTCCCTCTGCAATCTGTCTTCCTTTACTATTGGCTTCTTGTGCCTTTCTCACAACATCTAGTAGCTGCTTTCTACTGCCAGCCCCTTCCATATGCTATTTCTGCTTTTGTCATGGAATAAAGCTTCTAAAACCATGAGTCAAAAATAAAGTTCTCCTCCTGTGAACTTCAAACCCCTCCCTCTTGTTTTGGCGTTCAGGTTGTCCCTGAGCTCACTGTGTCGTCTGGGCTGGCCTCATACTGCAGGAGGCGCTCCTGCCTCAGCCTCCCAAGTGCTGGGATCATAGGCATGTACCAGCATACCCAGCCAACCCTCTCCTGCTTTAATATGTTCACATAGCTGGCATTTTATCT